AGGGAACGGGGACCCACCCTCAGCCCTGGGAGACTGAGCAGCTAGCCGTTCTGTGGCTCGGGATGTTTTCGCCTGCCCCTGTCTGGTGGGGGTGGGGCTATTTTCCTTCCTTAGTTGCTGCCACCACTCACTGGATTCACACCACCTTCCTAGAGGGACAGTGAGAGCCCTCTGGATGATTCCCCAACCCGGGAAAGTGGGTATCTCGATCTTTGGGCGCCCCCTGGAGAGTTGGCAACCACCCTGATTTGGGCCCATTTGGATTCCTCTGGCCTCCTTTTGCCTCTCTTAATGTGCTGAGTGGGGAATTGCACACCCCTAGCTGATTGCTCACTTGCGCAGGCACTGCCTGGCACATTGGCACAGGTTGGGGGGGGGGGCAGATTGCTCTGGTTCTGCTGCTGGGCATGGCTGGCAATGCAAACATGCTCCCTAGGCTGCTGCTGCAGAGAGAGAGATTATCTGATTTGAACTAAGTTCTGTTGGTTTTGGGGTTTGGGGCACTGCCTGGCACATTGGCACAGGTTGTGAGGGGGGGGGGGAGGCAGATTGCTCTGGTTCTGCTGCTGGGCCTGGCAAACACCACCACACACCTCACTTAGTTTCTTACAGGGAGATCTGCCTGCCTTTTCCCCACCCCAATTTCCCATAGGAAACAATGTAGAACTGGGGGCACCCTCTTTGGATGCCCCTGGAATTGGACCCCCTGGTCCAATCTTCTCAAAACTCAAAACTTCTCAAATTTGGAGCCTCTACCTCAACCCCCCCCCAGCCCCCTGCAAACTTTCCAGAGGATTTTTGCCATTTACTTCAATGGGCCCATTGGATATAATGGACCCGAATTTTTCGGGAATCCCAAAAATGTTCAGATATCTATGCTTATCGGTATAGATATTCGGGTTTTTTCGGGAATCCTGGAAAAATTCAGGTCCAATAATGCTGAATCTGAATTTTGCCAAAAAAATTTTTTGCACACCCCTAAGATAAGGGTGACCCTGTAGAGTTTTCAAGGCAAGAGGCTCAGAGACGTCACTGCCTGCCTCTGCATAGCCCCCTTGGACTTCCCTGGTGGTCTCCCATCCGAGTACGAGCCAGGACTGACCATCCTTAGCTTCCCGAGATCTGATGAGACTGAGCTAGCCTGGATTATCCAAGTCAGGGCTGATAACGGACAGCCACCGTTAAAAAATAACCTGGGTTTGAAGCCAATTACAAAACCCCATTTAAGAGGATCGATACTGAGTACCAGCTATCTAATTCTGGAAATAGCTCCCATGCAGGTAGAAAACCCCGGAGTGGGGCCAGGTACAGACAAGCGATGTTTTCCCGTGGATCTAGGAGAGCACCCGGGTCGACAGGAAAACCCCAAAAGTTTAAACAAAATTGTGGTGGGGATGCATGTTAAATGGAAGCTGAAATATTGGTACAGGCCATCGGACGTTGGAGAGGTCCCCCTCTTCCGTAAGCAGAAGAACGTCTTCTGTGCTCACGTAGGTAACATCAAGGAAAGCGATGGGACGGTCTGGGATAATGGCTGCCGGTGGTGGTGTAATGGGAGTGGCCACGGAGGGGAAAGTGGCAGGCGGGCAGCAAGAGGGGACATGCAAGTGGTGGCGGTTGGCAGGGTAATGGATGATGGTGCTGCTGCGGCGGGTGAAAGTAAATGGAGGAAGCTGGGTCGGCCAAGCAACGATCTGCAGTGCCTGCCTTCCTCGCCAGGCTCCCCCCCGGCCCACGGAGGCCACTGTTTTCTCCTTCCTTCCCCCTCCACTGCCAGGGAAAGAAGCAGACCCAGCAGCAGCAGTGACCAAGAGGAGGAGAAAGCTGCGGCGGCTCCCCTTCCTCTCAGGCCTTCCCTTTTCCTTATTCCTTAAAATCAGATCAGACTCAACCTACTTAATGTCAGTAAAATCAAAAAATTCGGCTGTTAACTCCTACAACACCACCCCCCCGCTAGCCCAACAAAAAGAATGAATGCAGGAAACCAGTTTACCGCTGAACGCTGGGTTGGTCTCGGTTATCTTCTGCAAAGTGTCCGCAACTTCATCCACTTCCATATTTCTTATACTGCTGAAAAATCTTCCAATGACATTATTTTGAGACTGTGATGGCAGCGAAGGAGGTATGCCAGGCCGATTACGAAATGAAGGTGGGATATATTGCCCTCGAGAGACGGAAGAGGTGGCATCTCGCGCTCTGCCAGCCCCTCGCCCTCGGGGAACACGAGAGGCAGCATGCCGGCCTCGGCCTGCATCCAGACGTCTGTCATCACGAGAGGAGGCATGTGGGCCGGAAGGGGTGGCATTTCGTGCTCTGGCAGCCCCTCGTCCTCGGGGGACACGAAAGGCAGCCTTCTGGCCTCGGCCTGCATCCAGACGTCCGTCATCACGAGAGGGGGCACGTGGGCCGGAACGGGTGGCATCTCGTGCTCTGGCAGCCCCTCGCCCTCGGGGGACACGAGAGGCAGCCTTCTGGCCTCGGCCTGCATCTGGACGTCCGTCATCACGAGAGGGGGCACGTGGGCCGGAACGGGTGGCATCTCGCGCTCTGGCAGCCTCCTGCCCTTGGGGAACACGAGAGGCAGCATTCGGGCCTCGGCCTGCATCCAGACGTCCGTCATCACGAGAGGGGGCACGTGGGACGGAAGGGGTGGCATCTCGCGCTCTGGCAGCCTCCTGCCCTTGGGGAACACGAGGGGCAGCATTCGGGCCTCGGCCTGCATCCAGACGTCCGTCATCATGAGAGGGGGCACGTGGGACGGAAGGGGTGGCATCTCGCACTCTGGCAGCCTCCTGCCCTTGAGGAACACGAGAGGCAGCATTCGGGCCTCGGCCTGCATCCAGAGGTCCATCATCACAAGAGGGGGCACATGGACCTTGGGGCTCAGCTGGCCCTTCAGTGGCACAGAAGTCTGGGTCGTTAGGTATTTCTTTAAACGTGGGCACAAAAAAACCATGTTTACTAGCTTTAACCCTGTCTTTTGACGGGTCCGTGTGCAACTCTGATGCTTTTCGCTTAGCTGGTAACTGAACACTGGAATTTGTTTCCATGTTTTCAAAGGACTGTTCATCTGGAAGCTCCCATTGCGAAAAATCAAGCTCTGAAAAAGAGAAGAGAGACTTGAAAAGGATCGTGCCTTAATTAAGTCCGGTTTTCATGAATCAGAACTACAGCAGCGCCTGGGGGAGGAGCAACTATCTTTGAGGAATGCATAAAACAAAAGTGGTACCTTTAAGACCAGCCAAGTTTTATTCAAGGAATAAACTTTTGTGTGGATGTACACTTCTTCAGATTATTTATAGCATGGCTGAATTTAAGCGGTCGGAATGCAAGAAAACATTTTTGAACAATATAGTCATCTTAAAAGGCATCCTGCTAAACAGGAATTCAGCCTGAAATGCTAAAGACTTCCTATTAGAATGGTCCGTAACTGTCAAACTCAGTCTCTAGTTTGCCATGTTTTGGGGGAGGGAAATTCCTGAGGGAGGGGTATGAGTGGGTTGAGTGTGTGAACAGCTCTGTGTTAGAGGCAATGTAACTCTTCCTAAGATACCTCCCTAGTACAGGGATGACCCTGTGCCTGCTTTGCTATCATAGATAAGAAGCCATATATCCACAGGTAGGGGTGGAGACTCCGCGAAAGCTAGGTGGGACGTTTGAGAAGTGTGATTGGATGTAACTGATTGGGGGGGGGCTCATTTGAACTGTCTATATCTTTGGATTCTCCTGCCAGAACCTCAGTTCTGACACGGTACTGATCTGGCCTAGAACATCTTTATTTTTCAATAAACAAATCACTGCCAGAGAGCAGGGCTATTTTTGGGCAGGAACGCAAAGGAACAGAGTTCTGGCTGGCTTCAGTTGGCCACGCCCACTACAGCCAAACCCTCCTGTGTGCGAGGCTACAGAGGGAAGGCCTGGAGAGCGACCCCCCGGCATTTAAATGCCTCCCCGTGCCTTCCCCAGCCTGTCCAAGGGCCGGCTTGACTTCAAGGGGGGGCTTGCCCGGGTTCCCCGCAGCTGCGGGGTGCCCAGGCAAGCCAAGGGCAGGCGTGGGGGTGTGGCCTAATATACTAATGAGCTGTGCTGTCAGGGGTGTGGCCTAATATGCTAATGAGGTTCTGTTGTTGGGTGTGGCTTATTATGCTAATGAGTTCCTGCTGGGCTTTTTCTACCAAAAAAAAAGCCCTGCTAGAGAGTGTTGTTGAGAGTAACTTTGTCCAGGAGTCTGACAATAACCTCACCCCTGGACATTCTGTGGTTAAGCTCCACCTCCTGTTGCCACCATTTTGTATTTGCGCCCACCACCCAGCATCAGAATTTCAAAGGTGCTCGCGGGCTGGAAAATTCGAGATCCCATCCTAGAACAGGCTTTTCCTTTATCGCCTCTTGGGTGACCTAGTGGCAAGTAGAAAAGAACTCAAAACGTATTTCTCATCCTTTCCATTTTTCTGCTTTTTTCCGTTGGCTAAATGTGTCTAAGCTTAGATTGATAAT